CACACACCTGTATGATGATGTAGGTATCTGTGGGGCCCAGCAGAGCATGGTCCAGAGGGGCCCACATCATTGACATTTGGTGCAGGAATACCAGAACCTGCTGTAGGCTTTCTAGTGTTAACCCTGCAGATGGTCCTGGGCTCTCCTTAGCTATCATTTGTGAGCAATCATAGAATGTTTGGCTGTGGGCTAGATGCATCACATGGTTTTATGTAAACAGAGTTAACACAGAACCAAGAATAGCAATGTTCCCACCACTCAGAATAGCTGCAGAGAGTACTCCAAAGATTACCAGTTCAGTGGTGAAAACAATTAGTGCTACTTGTATAGTAAGACAACTTCCTTTCTCCTACTATTCTCTCATTCTCAACATACACACTTCTGTTTACCAAAATATCTAGAGATTTCTCCCGCACCAAGCCACACTTTATTTCTCAGTAGACAGCATCAGAGTGTTCTATAGATCATTCAGTTTTGACAATAGCCAGAGATAGTGCAGATTCCACAGACTAAGCATTCCATGTAACAAGTCTCCCCTCCCCCAAGTCCCAGATGACAATCACAAGTCCCAGTCACTATGTTTCTGACCAAGCAGCTATAAAACAGGTTCACATAACCGCCCCCCACCCCCGCCACCCCTGCTGCACTTTGTATTTCATAATTTGCTAGAGTGATCACAGATCTCTGGGAAACACATTAACCATTTGGATATGATAAAGGATGCAGATTAATAGCCAGATGGAGAAGTTCATAGAGCAAGTTCTGGTTGGATCCAGGGTCCAGAAGTTTTTCAGCCTGTGAAGCTGGGTGTCCCTCCAGAACACAGATGTGTTCACCACCCTGAAAGCTCTCCAAACACTGTGCTGTTGGGACTTTTATGAGGGCTTCCTCACATAGGCATGATTGGCTAATACTCCATTCCCAACCCCTTTCCCTTCTAGAGACTGGGGGACGGGACATGGTCTTTCTGGCGACTGGCCCCCATCAAGGAACCTCCAGAGTTACCTCATAACAACAAAAGATGCTCCCGTCACCCAGGAATTTCAAAAGATTTGGGATATCTGTGCCAGGGTCAAAGTCGAAATATGAGATAGAACAAAAGATCTTGCTTGTAGCACCCCTACAGCTACAGAAAATTGCAAGGTTTTTTTTGAGCTTCATGATAGGAACCCAGATCAGAGACAAAATATTTTTTCTGAATATATCACAATATCACATATTCTAAAGGCTGTTCTGTTAGAACCTATCACAAAAGCAAATTTCAAAGCACTAAACTGTTTCCAACTAACTTAACTATGTCCCACTGTTAGAATCATGGACTAGTCCTAAAAAAAAATCTCTTTTTCTATCCAGTGAAAAAGTTTTTCTTTTGATAGTATAAGTGATAAAAGTTCATAAGTCTTCTTCAAGGTTAAAACTAACTAGACCTACTGTAGTTGCCCTGGGTAGTCAGTCTGTTCCATTGCTATCTGTTCAAGGACTTTGGGCCTCTTTCTTTACAGCAGCATATCTCAGGACTTATCTCATTAGACCCTCAAATTTACCCTTGTGATTTGAGTAGTTATTCACATTACTCAAATAAGAAAACTTGTGTTTAGAAATGTTCATAAACCTGCTGGGCATGGTGGTACACACCTGTAACCCCAACTACTGGGGAGGCAGAGGCAGGCAGTTTGAAGCCAGCCTGGGCAAAAAGGTAGCAAGACTGCATCTTAAAAACAAAAGGACAGGGGACATGACTCAAGTTGTAGAACATTTATCTACCATGCAGGAGACCCCGGGTTTAGTCCCAGAGTCTGAGACTGAAAAAACAATCAATAAATAATTTTAAAAAGGAAAAGAAAAGATAAAATGTTCACAAGCTCAGGATAACAGAAGGCTTCACTTAAGGACTGTTACTGAGAATTTAGAAAGTAGTGACACAGCAGCTCTTTGGCTCTTTGGTTCAAATAACACTCCACTGTTATTTTTTTAAGACTTGAGCTCTGAATCAGGTGGTAGAAAATTTTAGTATGAACTATGTTATGTATATAAAATGGTTATGCAATTAATTCCCGCAGTGCTTCCTCCCCACCCCAGGTACAATCGATCTAATCTGCACAACGTTTATTGAGCTCCTCTGCCCAAGCATGAGCTGTCTGCTTTGCTGTTCTCTCAGCTGGCAAACCCTGAACTGCTTTTGGAGGTGGGGGAGCTGCTTCCAGTGGTCTGGATTCTTAGTCCATGGACATGGGCCTTGTACAGTCAGGAGTTTGCTAATGAACAGGATAGATCACACAAATCCTCTGCAAAGGGACCAGACTTGGTGTCTTGGAGTTTGGATCCGTCAGAGGCGAACAGGGCGCTGTTCCTTTCAGGCATGAGGATTGAGTCGCTGCGACATGCTGAACTGCAAGGAAGGAATGACTCAGTCGGGCCTGAGAATAGATGTTCAGGGACAAAGGGCAGAATGTTCCTGACAGTTTACCTTCTGTTACTCAACAAAGAGGTGCATATTGGTTAGGGATGGCTTTTTGTCATGCATTTATGGACATGAAAAATAATTTAACTCAAAAATTGAATTTCTCACAGTTCTGGTATTCTCATCTACCTTCTTACTCTTTTGTTTTAGTGACTAGAACATACCTGCGGTTAGGACAGAATGAGTTTATTTTGAGTTTCCACTTAATTTGGATAGATGAATCCTGTTCTACCATGGTAGAGACAGCCCTATCACTAGTTAGTGAATATGGAGAACTAGCCTGCTGAGAGATGCGTCCAGTCTAGGGCAGATTTTTGAGGACTGACGCTGATGGTAAGGGATATTTAAGTGGAGAAGACTGCTATGCAGCTAAGCACAAGGTAACGTGAAGCCAGAAAACTCAGAGAACTTTGCACCTAGAGGCAAATGACAACTCACCTGGGCCAATACCCAAAGACCAGGAAGCAGGCCAGAATCTGTAAGAAATGGATAATTCCAGACACAGCTGACAGTAGAGCCATGTTGAGCCCACACCACTTCAGATTAAATACATTTGCCCTCCATTCTGTTTTCTCTCATAACATATATGCTTGTATTCTCCATGGTTCTCCTACACTGGCTTCTTTCTCTTCCTCCAGTTCCTACCTACAGGTCTTTGCATGTGCTGTTCTATACACCCAGATGCCTTCTCTTCCCCCCTCCCATATTTATACAATTGGTTGCTTCATAACAGTCGGGTCTCAATCAAATGCCACATCTTTATTCATCCTGTCTGAAGCAGGGCTCAGCTCAGCCACTCCCTGTTACATTACCCTGCTTTACAGTCTGCTCAGCCTTTGTCCCCCTCTGATATCATCCTGTTTGTTGACTTATTTAGAGGCTGAGTCCTACTGGAATGCAAGCACAGCAGAAGCCTTTTCTGGTTAATTTGTCAGCAGATCTCCACTGCCAAGAATGGTACCTGGCTCATAGCTTGTTTAAAGAATCAGAAAATGAATGAATGAAGTCAGACATAATTAAAGAAGTGGAGCCAGGTCTTACACACCAGCCAAAGCACTCTGCCATTAAACATTAGTTACTAATTTAAGAATAGCGAGTCTGTGTTCCATGCATGAGTGTACTCCTAAGCTTTTGTATTAGGTTTTAAGCAAGTGACACTGACAAAGGACTTAAGAAATACTTGTTAAATAAAAATGTAGTTATCTGGACATGGTGGCACACACCTGTAGTTGCAACTACAAGGGAAGCTGAGGGAGGAGAATCACAAGTTTGAGACCAACCTGGGCACATAGTAAAAAACTTAATATTTTTAATTATTTAATTTGAGATCATTTTTAGGAATTCCACTCTTATTCCAGCTAAACTAAATTGGTTCCTTATAGACCGAGTAATCTAGGCAGTTCTGGGGGCAAGCTTCAGGATGGCAGATCATATTAACAGGAAAGTTGAGTTGAAAGACATCCTCAGTTGAATTTTGAGTAAGCCATTTTAAAAGCTCAAGGAGAATTTCTTTTTTTTTCAATCTAGTTTGACCCCACCATTAGAAAATAACTTCATGTGAGCCTCAGGAATTATACATACATAACTATTTTATAATCTGACTTTTTAATATAATCTGAATAATATGTTTTCATTTAATGAAATACACTTTTATAACATGATTTTAATAACCACATGATATTTCACCCTATCACTATGTCATAACATAAGCCCCTTTTATGGGAGGATAGATATGTAAGGGAACAGGCTCTGAAGCACTCATCCTGCCTTTCACTTGCTGTGACCAGGGCACCAGTGTTATTTGTTCATTCCATACTTCCTCAGTCTCCTCACTTTTAAAGTAGAGAAAATGATAGTAGCAGCTTTACATCAGCTAATGCAAAGATTGAAAAAGTAATTATACATGACACTTAAAACACTTTAATCACTTAGAATAATGTTCTAATAAATTTTATTATTAGAAAATTATAATTCTGTTATTCTAATAGAATGATTACCTAGCACATCATAAATACTCAAATATTCATAATTACTACATCTATCATTTTCAACTTTTGATGTTACAGTATTTAATGAAAGTCTGTGAATAAAAATGCTTTTGTTCTTTTCTTAACATTTCACTTAAATTTTTACAAGTAGAATTGCATCTTTGATATATATTGTTAAATAACCCTCCATCGTGGCTGTACCATTGCACACACTCCATAGAACCAGAAGAGACAAGGCAGATGCTCCACAGTGAATGACATTTCTGAAAACGCTTTGGTGGGAAATGACAACTGCTCAGAGGAGGATTTTTGCATTCTTCAAAATCACTGAATAGTGACCAACTGGAACTTATGCAACTTAACCTTCCTTCTCATTATTTTTATACTCTTCAGGCATAGTTATGAAAAATTAAAAACATGTTTGCTTTGGGTGTGTTTAGAATATTAGTCTGATTTTTGTTTGAGAAGATATGTATATATTGATGTAAAAATTGGTACTTTACATGGTTGAAGTACTTTCCTTCATTGAAATCATATTTTCTGTTTTCAAGAAAAAAGCAGCAAGTCTTGGGAGCAGTCAGCCCTCCAGAGCCCATGCTGATGGGACAGCACCAGCCACAAAGGTCAGTCATTGCCCAAACACAAGAAGACCCTTCTTCTCCCACTTACAGGGGTATCATCAGTGGGTGGGGCCCACAGAGAAGGCAAACAGTGCCTTACATCTAAATTATGCTTCTAAAAACCCACAGACTAATATTTAATGAAATCATTTGTAAATAGTTTCCAGAATTGTTTTAGTATTTAAACTTTTGGAGGTCAATATGTTGTGGAAAACCACATCTAGTTTTTTCTTGAAAAGACTCACTATCTGAAAGGCCTAAGAATTACACCCTTTTCCATCAGATTTTCTCTATGGGAAGTTCTCATCTAATCTTTCTGAGGTGGGACGGTTGTGAAAAATGTAGTCCTCTCTCCTCAAACCCTGGTCTGTCATAAGCAGTGGAGGGAGGTGGCTTAGCTGGGAAGTAGAGGGAGGTGGCTTAGCTGGGAAGTGGAGACATTTTTGCCATATCTTTATTGTTTTATTGTTTAAAGGCAAACTTGGAATTCTTTCCTTGGCTTCTGAAACACTGTTCTTTCCCTCCTCTCATCTTATCTTTCTTGTTTCTCTTTCTGTTTTCCTGACTCACTTTACTGTACCAGTTTCCTGAATAATAGATTTCCCAGGGTTTAATTCTTCCCTCACACCTTCTTCATGTTTTTAAGTCTTTACAGAGTTCCAAAAGAAAAACTGTAGATGCTTGCTTTTTTCTTTTCATTCCAGATTGGAAGGGTTATAACTTAGTGTCAGTATTGCTTTAAAAGTAATCATTCCTTGGCCTCATTGTGAAAAGCTAGAGGTATTGGCATGAATGGTAACTTGCAACATTTTATGATACAATTACTACATCACACACAAGCAAAACAATACCATCTCAAAACAGTCAGAAAAGTTATGACCACATTGTAATTAGCAGTGAGAGGTAGTCCTGGTTTTCTTGATTCTGGATACATTCAACCTGAAAGTTAAAATAAGTAATACTTTTATAATTATGAAAATCTTAAGTCTATGTTTAAAAATAAATATTTTATTTGAAGCTTATGTGCAAGCTGTGTATTATAGAATGGTTTCCACTTATTGCAGGACTGGTTCATGAGAATGCTAACAAAATGAGTAATCATGCCTAGATATACTATCCCTTATACCATGCAGTTCTAGGCGTAAATGATCCAAAGCTCTTGGGCCAGGTGTGGTGGTGCACACCTGTAATTCCAGATATGAGGAAAGCAAAGGTAGGGTTGCATTCTGGGCTAGCCCTGGGAAAAAGCAACACCTTGTGTGAAAAATAAAGCAAAAAAGGGGTGGGGGCATAACTCAAGTGGTAAGTACTTAAGCACAAACCTCTGAGTTCAAACCCCATAAAAAGAAGATCCAAGGCTCTAAAGTTGTATAGATATTTCTAATTCAAAATAGTTACTGCAAAATGCTTAGTACTTCAAATTCAATTATTGGTAAATTAATAATGCAGACTAATGAGACTGTAGAAATTATATAGACTCCTGTTAAAGTCACTATGAACGTAGCTGTGATTCATAATTAGTTATGCAGTTTTATTGCTGGAAGAGTTCTCAGACAGCCTCTGTTTTGATAATCAAAATAGCTTACTTAGAAACCAATGTTCAGATTTCATTTACAATGTCTGTGTAGAATTCTATGCTATTAAGATGTTGTGGTAGAATAGGGGGCATGGCTCAAGTGGTGGAGCTCTTCCCTACATTCATGAGGCCCTGTGCTCAATTCCCAGTACCAGAAAAGGAAAGGAAAGGGAAAGGGGTCAGGTGGAGAGAAAGGGAAATGAAAAGGGGAAAGAAAACATACATTTATTAGTTAAATTTGTTAGTTTCAATTAGATTCCACTCTGACCAATTAAAGGGAAAGAAAAAGAAATTTCTTGAGGGATAGTGAGTAGCTCATGGGAAATCTAGGAGGGTTCAGCAAAAGGAATCCAGAGCCTCATAGCAAGGAACAGTGCATAGCAACACCTGGGAATTTCTCTTGCTAAACCCTGCTGCCCCACCATCAGCATCTAGCACATTTAGGACCAGCTGCCAGAACCTGTGCCACAGCCAAACCTCTAAAGTCCAAAAGCCTTTTTACAACACTGCTTTCCCTGTGGGCAGTGGCCTCCTCACATTGCTCACCTCCAATCTCATTCTTTTTTATCTTTTTTTTTTTTTTTTTTTTGTGGTACTTTGGTTTGAACTCAGTGCCTCACGCTTGCTAGGGAGGCACTCTACCATTTGAACCATGCTTCCAGCCCTTTGTGCTTCAGTTATTTTTGAGATAGGGTCTTGCTTTTTGCCTCCTGAGTAGCTAGGTTTACAGGCTTGAGCCACTGCACCTGGCTCTAATCTCATTCTTGTGTGTATTTCTAATAGATTAAAATAAGTCACATGCCTCAATCATGCTACCACAGAATCTAGGGTTGTAAGTTTTTTAGATTCTACTTTGGGGAGACGCATACTGATTAAGTGAGAAATTAGCAATATGTGGTGAAGAAGTCTGAATGTGTGGCCAGCTGCTAAATGGTAACTATCTAGAACAGATGGAAAACTAGAAGATCTAACTAAAAAGAGGAAAATCATTGGTGGCAGGTTGCTCAGCAGCATTGGGTATTTAACCAACTTTCCCCAGCCTAGAGGGGAGAAGAGCTACAAAAGAATGAGCAGCTATCAGGGAACTACTTTGTGCCTTTGGGTCCTGTTCTGCCATAAACAGTAAAGTAGCATATAAAACTTATAATCCCATGGATACTTTTGCTTCAGAGAAGGCTAAATTAAAGGTTTTAATTAAGTAAACATAATACAGTTACAGCACATTAAAATATTATGTAGGTAATGTACAAATTACCAAAGTTTCAGAAATAGGATCCAATCAGTAATTCTTATATTTGTTGGGTGCATATTGAATCTGTGGGGTTTTTATTAAAATGAAGATTCTGGCACAGGAAATCTGGGATGAGGCTTACAGCCTTGATTTTCTTTTTTTTTTTTCATTTTTCTTTTCAGCCTTGATTTTCTAATAAGCTTTCTGGTTATCTGATGCCGCTGGCCTGGCAACCAGCACCATGGGTATCAAGGAGGCTGAATTGTGCAGGATGTGTGTAGTGCCCAAAATGCAGATTCTCAGGTTCCAAGCCAAGAAACCGATTCATCAGGGTGGAGCAAAGCCTAGGATTTATATATGTAACACATACCTTGGGTATATGAGAAACAGATTATCTGAAAGCCACACTAGGGGAAAGGATGACCCTCAGGGACCATGATAACTGCAGCATCTCCCTCAGAGATGCAGACTCATTCCCTTCATCCCCAAGGGGGAGGGGAGCCCCTTTCTACTTAGGCTACAGCATAAGAATCTGTGAAAAGTTTGTTTTATAGCTGTGTGACTACTCACCTGGGCTCTTCAGGAGCAGAAAAACACTCGCCCCCATTGTGGAAGATATAGTTGCCTAACACCGAGGGCTGTGGGGTCCAGGGCTCATTCCTGCTTGGGGTGAGTCCTAAAGAAGTCATCCTATGCTGCTTTTTGTCACAGGAGAAATAATTATCAGTCAATGATATGAAGTTTAGCTCTCCCCAAAAAGTGCATTTTAAGTTATATTTTTATCAAGAAGTATAGCAGGCCCTTTCAGGTAAATGTAAAATACTAGAGTTAGAAACCTCATACTTTACCAGCTTTACTTAACAGATATAAAATAAAATGAAAATAAGTAAGGTGGGTGTGGGGAACACCTTGAAGGACAAATCAGGGGACCCACCTGCTTTGACTGCTTGTGGGGTGTGGGCGTAAAATTATGCAATGGGTGCCCCAGTTTTTAAATGGCCACTGGCCATCACTTCTGTCTTGGCTGAATGCAGGACTGAGTCATTGCTCAGCTGTCATTAGCTGGGCCTGAGCTCTGTTCCCCAAACACTGGCTACTGCCACCTCCCCTACTGGCTCAGGATTCAGCGTCTTTATTCTGGTTGGTTTATGGCCCTGGGAAAGTTGGCTTTCCATATTTCCTTTAAAATTTAATAACTCTTTAACTCCATCACTCACTCTATATTTATTAGTTGATCTTCTTCTATGAGAGTGTTTTCTTTTCCGCATTTACTTCACTAATTTATGGTGACAGTATAGACTCACGAATTCGTATTTTCCTCAGTGGTTTCAGATCTATTCTTACTATTTTGAACATTTTAATCCTGAGATGTATAATGGTATGTGACTCAGTAGAATTCTGATCCTGTTAAACTGCTCTTTAAAAAAACTCCTGATGATGGTCATTGTGCATTAACTTTGTCCTCGCTGGCGTGTACAGCACTGGGGGCCCGTGGCCTGCGCGCCAGCGCCGGGATGCCAGGCACTTGGGGACGAGTGGAGCTGGGCCCTCCCTGCTCTCCTCCCCACCGCGCGTCCGAGCTCCCGAGTTCGGGGGTTGGGAGCAAGCGGGGCGCAGGGCGGAGCGGGTGGAGCGCCGGGGAGGGAGGCGGGGAACCACCTCGTCACCGCCTGGAGACCGCCCCGCCGCGTCACTGTGCCGGCTGTGCTGGGCTGGGAGGTGAAACCTTGGGGCAGAGCTGGGACGGAGCTGAACCTGGAATGCAAACATCCGGAAATCCCCGCTGAGGTCAGCCGGTTCTGGAGTCGCGCAGAGTGAGTACTGATTTCTCTGGCTTTGCTTCAAAGCTGCCCTGCCCCCGCGCCCGGCCCCGCACGTCCTCGGGGCCTGGACCCCCCAGCTGGCTCCCCGGGCTGGGGACGTGTACTCCGGCTATGTTCATGACGCTGAACGTAGCACTGCTTTCCGGATGGGTTCTAAGTTTCACAGTGTTTCTCGTGGATCCTTCCTGTCCAGAACACTGTTACTGCCCCTTTAGCTGGGACTGTATCCGGTGACTGGACATGAGGGGTTACAAAGCACGGGGTTTGTGTGACTCGGCCGAATACCGAAGGAAGAAAAGCAGCAGCTGTGTCGATTTGGTTTGGCACTTTGATCTCTAGAATTAGACCCCAGTCTCCAAGTCCCAACCCCGCC